CACATTAATAATTGATTTTTAGGATAAACTTTTGATTCATTATGAAGTCAAATACAAAACAAATCAGTAAACTATAAAACGCAAGATCAACCGACCGTTCTGGCACTCACACAAATGGCGACTTACGTCAGCGTAATTAGCTATTCACAAACAGTTTATTTACAGGGATTTCTCTGACCTTAGACTAAACGAAGACATCTACTATAGACAAAAATTATGATAAGGATGGCAATCGATAGTTTAACCAGGCTATCGATAGAATCGATAGTGCAAAAACTATCGATTAATCGATAGTCTATCGATGTTTAGGCCGGTCACATACATACGGAATTCCGTTTCGAGATTCCGTTTCGGAATTTCGAATGGGTCGGCCACACACATACGGAATCCCGTTTTGCCCGCAAAATTTCGAACGGAAAACTACCGTACGTGTGTGGCGGGTCATAGATTTTATATGAACTTGCTGCGTTCGGAATCTCGAATCGGAATATCGAAACGGAAACCCGAAACGGAATTCCATATGTATGTGGCGGGCCTTAAGGAACACTAACTGCCGCACTCAGAGACGTTTAATGATTACTTAAGCCGTCACTAAGTAAAGTTTAGAAAAGTTGACTCTCAGAGTGAGTTAATGGTTCATTAGTAGGCCTAAGGAACCGTTAACTTTAAATAACGCTCTACCCACAGAGTACTTTTTATATACTGAAACTGGCTCTTCCCTTACTTAACTTCGTAATGAAGGATTCTCTATATAACATTGTAGTCTTTGATGAATGATTTTGAAAGGTAAATTTGTGAGGGTATGTGTGTCACTGCGTGGTTATTTTCAAGGATTTGTTTATTGTGGATCAAATTCTGATATTTCGAAAAAAATGTCAGATTATGAAGAGTTTGTTGATTTTGTGGCATTACGCAAGAAGATTTAGAGAACCAGGACCAAGAAGTTATTTGCGTGATTATTCGGATCCATTTCAGAAATATACTGTTCAACAATTTTACTCACGACATCGCTTTACCCCTTTACAGAAAGGGTTTGTTTTTCAATCAATGTACAAGCAGTAACAGGACCTAATTTCGAATTTTTTGATTTGGTTGCACGATGGCCAGGTAGCACACATGACAGCTTTATACATAGGCTTTATATATAATAGCAGTTCTGTCAAACAAAGGTTAAACATTGGAAATTTACAAGGACAGGGTATGCTACTTGGAGACAGTGGATATGCAGTCAGCAGTGTGTTGCTAACACCATTTTTGTCACCTAATCGTATTGGACAAGAACTGTATAATAATAGTCATATTAAAACACGGAATACTGTTGAGAGTACCTATGGAATTTGGAAACGGAGGTTTCCTTGTCTCCAAATGGAAATGGGGATCAAAAAGGAAACCGTTGTGCCAGTGATATGTACATGTGCCACACTGCACAATATTTCAACAATGTTAGATGATGTCATAATGCCTTCTACTGATGACAATATATTAATCAATAACATGGATAATGTTCCTGTACAAGAGAACCCCAACAGTAATGGTTTATTGGTCAGACAATCCGTTGTCAATAGATTATTTTCTTTTTTTAGATTATATTCTCAATAGTAAAAAAAAATTGATACAAGGTTAAAATAAAACATAATTTATCTAATCACTTGTTTTATTTTGTAAACTGTTTTTTTTTAAATCTTCAATTCTAATGTAGCTTTTTCCAAAAGTATTTGATTAGTCTGTAATTCATAAACATTTACATTTATCTTCATTAAGATCAAAATGCAGATGCGTTGTCACCCCTGTGTACTAAGATGGAATGCTTGTTTCCAGTGAAAAGGGTCTTCGGTTCTCTACATTCACCATAGAAAACACAGCAACATTAAGCTGCTATTTTACACTGGTAATCTGTGAGAGTGTGGTCCTACCCCGGTCAAGCTGACCCATTCGTACTGCAACTGTAATTTAGCTGCAGGGATCTGATAGTAATATTGTATCATTTATTTGATGGAGCTATTGTTATACATTTAAAGTTAACTATTTATTTATTTCCAGATAAAATTATATATTAAAACTATGAATATATCTACTAAAAAAGAAGATAACCTAAAATAAAACTAACAAACTAAAATAATAACCCGATGTGAGTTCACTGTACGCTAGCAATGTTTTTAAAAAGCTGGTTTAAAGGTAGCTAGTAAATTATTATAATGTATACCTTTGAATAAATAAAAATCCATTAATCAAATAATACTTATATTTTAAAACATCATTATACAAATGATATAAAGACAAATGAGTTAGAAAGTTTCTCATGTATTGATTTCTTCAGTTCCTCTAATCCTACTTTAGCTTTTTGTAATAAAATTTTATGTCTTTCGTCCTCTAGTAAAGCAGCATGTTTTTTTTTACTTCTGCAACTTCTAATGCAGCATTTTTTCTTATTTCATTAACTTCTAACTGTAAATAATAACATAAGTACATGTAAGTCAATTTTGCAACCAATTAACGCTTCCATTTGCTTTTATCATATTGAGTAGTATTTTAACATTAAAATCAAAGGGTACCTTCCCATATTGGTATAGAGGGAAATGAGTGGTACAAAATGATACAACCACATCTTTCTCACTTCCTTTGGTTTGAAGGCTGCAATATGGGAAGGCAAGAAATTACTACAGCAATGAGGCTTCATTCCGGACATATTCCAATAAAGACATTTGCATTTATGATGGGAAAAGTGAATATGTGTAATTGTGTCAAATGTGGAGTTGTGGAAGATACTATTCATATTATAATGGATTATATAATAGTATCTTAGCTTTTCATTATGGGATTAGGCTAGAAAACTTTATAAACTAGTATTCTTAGGTATTAACAGATAACCTTTCATTATTGTTTATGTAAATGTATCATTATTTAAATTATTTAATTTAATTTTGTGCATTTGATTTGTACCTATGAGGGTGATATGATCTAGTAGACCAAACCCTCTATAGTCAATAAAGTTTTTTATATTAAATTACTGATAAATAAAAAAAATGTAAATTAGTGCAGTATTCGCATAATAAAAAAAAATGTATGCCACAAATTCCCACTAAAATAGTAAAACAGAGGATATCATTCTACTCATATCTTCGACTATGCTTATTATGGCTCCATGTTGGGGTGGTGGAGGTCGTGCATATGGTCCACCCCCAGTCCTAAATCAATTTCCTCTTTCAGTTGTACGAGCTTTACGAGTAAATGCTTTCAAATTATTATTAGTTCAAACTAGTTATTAATTGTTAGGGTTATTAAATCCCATGCTGTTTGTTTCTTTGCGACCGACTTGCCGTCTGTTAATTTAGATGCAACGATTGGTCTCCTTTTAATTAATTGTGCCAATAGAGCCTTTTCATCGGCGGTGAAATTAGCTACTCTTTTGCGTGGTGTTTTTGGTTGTAGATCCTAAATTGAAACAGAAATATAGATAAGAAATATAGAAGTCTTGATTGTCGTTAAATGTTATCATATTATTCACTGAATCTATAGTGATACTTATCATGCTATAATTAAGTTAATTTATGGATGAAAATTAAATTACAATTCACAGCACAAAAGTTTTAAACTCACGAAGTCCGAAGCATAACCGTTTACTTTACATTTATCTTCATATTGACACTTAACAGTAAGTGATGCCATTGAAAAAAGGGCACAAATAATATATTTCATTTGAAGGAAAATAGCTATTTTGCTTTGTCTTTTCTGCCGACTTCCAAAAAGGAGATGGTACTCAATTCGACGCGTATGTTTTTTTTATGTGTGTTAACTCATTACTTTTTACTGGGTCGACCGATTTCGATGATTTTTTTTTTGTATGAAAGCTGATACTTCTCGTGTATTTCATCAAGGTCAGACCAATAGTTTTTGAGTTATTTGAGTTATTCTTAATAACTTATATTGAAATCGGCTGTATACAATTTTTAATTTTTAATTATACAACAAAACGGAAAGTAAAATAAATAATTGTCATTTGTATTTCCATGAATAATAGTTTAAGATGTTTTCAAATTATTTTTTTATTATTTAATATCATCACTTTTTTAAATGTCGCTACACCAACACTTTATCGATATGGAATCGTTAGAGTCATTTAACGTTGCTCCGCCTTACGAATACTCAAAGTTGTCATTAACTAAGGCCCGCCACATACATACGGAATTTCGTTTCGGGATTCCATTTCGATATTCCGATTCGGAATCCCGAACGCAACAAGTCCATATAAAATCTATGACCCGCCACCCACGTACGGTAGTTTTCCGTTCGAAATTTTGCGGGCAAAACGGGATTCCGTATGTGTGTGGCCGGCCTAATGAACCCTTAAATTATATCTCTGGGTTGGCCCGTTCATTAACGGAGTTAATGCTAATTAGTTAAGTACTCATTAAGACTAATTTAATGAACCTTTCTGAGTGCGGCCGTAAGTAACTGTCCTAACAGCCACAAATTATAAATTCTTCTTCTTAATAACTGGCTTTACGGCTCTGGGATCTAGCCCTTCTGAGCCTGAAGTTACAATATTATATTATAATAATTATTCTTCATAGTATACTGCTTCACAATATGTTGATGCGTCACATTGTGCAGCCCTTGGGAGATTTTAAGGGCAACTTGAGCCAGCGATGGTATCTCAAGGCGCCTAAGCAGACAGGCACCTTATTTTGAGAATTACATCACTATCAGAGCACTTGTTTCACAGTTTCCACTAATAGTTCACATGCGCAGACACTTAATACAAAAAATCACACCACTTTTAAATATTAAAGTCCACTTCAAACCATTATTTAAACAAAAAAACAGGAGCAGCAAACCGCCGCCGGTCAAGTTCCCGCCAAAACTAGCTTGCTACATATATATTTATCTATGGCCAAAACTCCACAAATTATAAAGTTGTATGTAAACCACAGACTAGATAGAGAAAATGTAAACAGCTTTGACTCTTGATTGATTGTGGTATTGAGAGTTTTTGGTTTAAAATGGTTCAATCTTGTGTTGTGAATGGCTGTAAAAGTGAATCATACCCTGGTTGTGGAAAATCTTTCCACAGGTAAGAGAATTCTGATTTAGAGGAATTACGGTGTCTGTTATTATGAACTTTGTGGGCGTTCCAAGTGCTTCATATGTAGTAAAGGCCTATGTCTAAAAAGGAACGAAAAAGCCTGATAAATTATGAGTGAAGTCAAATTTATTTGCTGTTTTGTGAATTACCACCTTATTGTTACCACCGTCTATAAATTTAAGAATAGATAAAAAATTAAGGGTTGGGTTTAGAGTCGTTTGGCAGATATTTGGAGGAGAAAGGTGTTGTATTTGATAGAAGGATAGGTCCCCCATTATAACAATACCACTTGCATTAAAAGGCACTGTTTTCGAGAAAATAAAAAAACTATTATGACCTCAAAATGGGTAAAACATGCTAAAACGAATGTAATATTACTGATAAAGCTGAATAGCATACATAATTTTGTGTAAGTGTGACGAGGACGTAAGACCACAACAAAGATTAGTGTCACACTCACATTACATACCTCTATGTTGTTTTTATTCTTCTGTGGTCTATAGGTACTCTTTTAATAAATTATGATTATAAACAATAAAGAAATAATTATTAAATACTTTAAACCGAGAAATCCTTTCACTTGATTTAGGTTAGAAGGCTGTGGTGGGAGCAAGTGCAGCGCAGCTGAATGTAAATAAATTTCTGAATAAAGTGCTGAAAATAAATATCATTATTTATAAATTAATAAAAAAAAATATATTTCAGATTTCCCAACGATGAAGAAACCAGAAACAAATGGATTCAAGCATTGCATATTACTAAAAAAATATCAAAATATAGTGTCGTTTGCAGTCTCCATTTCAAAAAGGAAGACTTTTTGCCCTCACTTTACAAAAAATTAAAATCAAAAGTGGTTCCTTCAATTTTTTCTATGGTATGTAGTGTTATTGTTGCTCTACATAAAGTCAACAACCATTTTAATAATTGAGTTAAATTATTGTTAACATTTAATTGAAAATGTATCTACATTTCACTATTAATTATACTCCACGTTAATTTTATTGGATGCAGTTTTAATTTTGTTGCTTAAATAGGCTTTACCTTAGCTGTGGAACACACTTTTGTAAAAATTTTAGAATATTTTTTACATTCTCTCTAAACATAACACTATAACTATATGCTCTTTCATTGTAAGGTTTGTGTAACCTTTGTGTACTTTTATAAATTCATACTGTTTATGCCCATTTATTAAAAGATTTGCGATTGATTAAAGAGAATGTTTTAGAAGTAAATATTCTAATTAATGAAATAAATAATTCTAAATTCACAACTTATAAATTTAAATAATGCACCATATTCATTATACATGGTAGAGCCATGCTAAAGCTATATTAATATAATAGTTGTAGCATGATTGGGTCGGGTCGACAGGGGAAGGACCACACTCTCACAGAACACCAGTGTAAAATAGCAGCTTAACGCTGCTGTGTAACGTTTGGTGAGTGTAAAGAACCAGACACCCTTTTTACGGGAAAGAGGCACACCATCTTACTCCTCACAACTGACAATGCATATTCGCAAACAAGGATAGATGTAAATGTCTATGGGCTACAGCAACTGCTTACCATCAGGTGGACTGTGTGCTTGCTTGTCATCCTACAAAAAAAACATACAAATAATCAGCACTAATTTTAATGATAGTGATGGAAGTCTTTATACTATTTATTACTTCTAAATCTCTTCAAGCAATGTTTGATTGGAACAAACACAACTTTCTCATTTTTCTGTTTTTTGTGTATGTAAGACAATGACACCAACTGTCCACAGTGATCTGAACTTAAATTTTGAATTATTTATTTATGCAAGGGCTTAACATCTGTAAAAATGTAATTTATACAGGTTGGAATGTCATCAGTCACTAGCATGAAGTCAGTCCAATCGATTCAGTCCAGTTCATTCAACATTGCCATCAGTTCTGATGGGTCCTTGTGTATACTGCCATCATCAGGCGTCCCTATTATACCACAACAGCCTAATCACCTGGAAACTTGCTTAAACATGTCACAGATTAGTAATTCTGGTGATAACGGACCCATATCTAGCACAGAAAAAAGGACTATGGTACTGCTTAAACCAAATAGTAAAGTGCCAAGACTTCTCGAAGATGATCCTCTTAGAAGCACAACTGGTGGTGATGTCATATTAATCGGTGATGAAGAGCCCGAAGCTCATGAGCAAGTTGTCAAGTACCCAATCAGAATAGAATCCAAAATTGATTGGGAGGACAAAATACCTATGGACATTATATCTTTTGTGGTAAGTTATATTTCTACCTAGTGTGTATATGTGTATGTATTTGCACCGTGTAGTGGCGGTGTAAGAATATCCACTAGCCCAAATCGTGCCGTAGGTGTTGCAAGAGGCTACAGGGGAAAGAAAACAGGAGATGGGCAGCTGCGTCTTCCTAATGACAATTAAAAATAAACTCCATTTTCCAACCTGCCGGCCAAGCGTGTCAACTATGACAAATATCCCCCTTATGAGGAAACTTATGGGGGAGGCCTAGGTTCAGCAGTGGACTTTGAATAGGCAATTATGGTTATGGTTATAATAAAGTTACAGCCTATATATGTCCCATAACTGGGCACAAGCTGTTTCTTATTCTGAAACAGTATTAGGGGCAAGGAAATGTCATTGTAATGCAATTTAGATGTGGTATAGCCATGCTGCAGCTATATTTCTGGTATAGTTGTAACACGAATGGGTCGGCTCGACCGGGGAAGGACCACGCTCTCACAGAATACCAGCGTAAAATAGCAGCTTAATGCTGCTGTGTTTCGTATGGTGAGTGTAGAGAACCGGAGACCCTTTTTACTGGAAACGAGGCATTCCATCTTAGTCCTCACGGGTGACGACTCATCTGCGATATAGATGTCTATGGGCTACAGCAACCACTTACCATGAGATGGACTGTATGCTTGTTTGTCACCCTATTCCTATAAAAAAAAGACTTCACATCATGTCTTCGAAATGCAGGTTTTCTCACGATGATATCCTCCACCGCCAAGCACGTGGTAAATCAGCAATTAACAATTTCATTAATGCCGGCGGGGATCGAACCCGGGTTGCCCAACTTAGCAAGCGGGTTGGCACAACAGTTTTTTCTATTACTTTGAGTTATAAGGAAGACGCTGCTATCCATATCTTGTTTCATTTCAGTCTGTCGCCTCTTACGACACCCACGGGACGATGTGAGGTAATGGATATTCTTACACCTCCACTACAGGGATGAACTTACCTTTTACTATAACTAGCCGTTCCTCGCGACTTCGCCCGCCTGTAATTTAGGGTTTTAATTATATTCCTCAGACCCCTAAATATTTTTCTCAAATATAAGTAGCCTAAGTTACTCCTTAGAATATCAGCTATCTGCCAGTGAAAGTCCCGTTGAAATCGGCCCAGCCGTTTCGGAGATTAGGCGGAACAAACAGACAGACAGACAGACCGACAGACAAAAATGTTAAAAATTGTGTTTTTGTTGTAAGTACCGTATATACATTTACATGTATATACATTTACATGTATATACGGTAAAAAGCTTTTATTTTAGTAAAAACCTGTTATTTTAACATTACTAACAGACACTTCAATTTTATTTATTTGTATAGATTCCAAAACGGTTTTTTTCTTTACAGGACAGTAAATCTTCGATTGTCACCCCTAAAGTTAAGGGGCAAAAGATTGGCTTGAACAAGAACATTCTGTTGAACTGAAATAGTGTGTCCAGAATGCGGGGTTAATAATGTTACGCTCGCCAGATGTTGCTAGATGGTACCAAGGTAAACTTATTTTTTTTTATAGAATAAGGGTGACAAACGAGCATGCAGTCCACCTGATGTTAAGTGGTTGCCGTAGCCCATAGACATCTACATCTATCTTCGTTTGCGAATCAAAATGCAGATGCGTTGTCATCCGTGAGGTCTAAGATGGAATGCCTCTTTTCCAGTAAAATGTGTCTCCGGTTTTCTATACTCACCATACAAAACATAGCAGCATTAAGCTGCTAACTTACACTGGTATTCTGTGAGAGCGTGGTCATTCCCCAGTCGAGCCAACCCATTCGTGCTACAACTATACTACTAACGTAGCTGCAGCATGGCTCTACCACGTAATACATAAATTTGTTATACAGATGGTCACAGTGAAATGATTGAAAAGTTGCGATTTTAATAAATGTTTGTCGGTTTCTCGTTTATGTATAAAACAATGCCTCAGTGCTGTATATTTTAATTTTTACACATTTTCTTTTAATTCTTCTACTTGGTGGAATATTTGTAAGTAGTTTGGTTTATCTATTTCTTATCTAAAAAATACAAACTATAACTGATATTTGAGAAAGAAACATTAATCTTTATACTTTTCTAACAAGTCAACTTCCCCCTCTATGAAATCTGTCAAATATTTCATCTATTTTTTAAGTTTTTACTTATGTGGTAGAGCCACGCTGTAGGTATATTAATGCTATAGTTGTAGCACTAATGGGCCGGTTCGACCGGGGAAGGACCACACTCTCACAGAATACCAGCATAAAATAGCAACTTAATTCTGCAGTGTTACATATGCTAAGTATAGAGAATCGGATACACTTTTTGCTCGAAATGAGGCATTCCATCTTAGTCCTCTGAGGTGACAACGCATCTGTATATTGATTCTTAATTGAGAATAAATGTAGATGTCTGTGGACCACAGTGTCCACTTACCATCAGGTGGACTGTGTGCTTGTTTTTTACTCTTATTCTATTAAAAACTACAGTGTTTATTAGTAACCATGGTTAGTAACTAATCATTAATTAACATTTTTTTTAAAACATCTTATTTCAGACCGCTACATGTGATAGAAACTGTAATCATAGATGATGAAACTCCGAACAGTACACTCTGAAACTCAGTGAACTACAGAACACTCTGGAAATGTCATCGGTCACTAGCATGAAGTTAGTCCAATCGATTCAGTCCAGTTCATTCAACATTGCCATCAGTTCTGATTGGTCCTTGTGTATACTGCCATCATCAGGCATCCCTATTATACCACAACAGCCTAATCACCTGGAAACTTGTTTAAACATGTCACAGATTAGTGATTCTGGTTATAAAGGACCCATATCAAGCGCAGAAAAAAGTACTATGGTACTGTTGAAACCAAATAGTAAAAGGTCAAGACATCTAGAGGATGATCCTCCTAGAAGCACAACTGATAGTGATGTCATATTAATTGGTGATGAAGAGCCCAAAGCTCGGGAGCAAGTTGTCAAGTATAGATCCGCCAATCCGAATAGACTAAAAGGTTGATTGGGAGGACAAAATACCTATGGCCATTATATCTTTTGTGGTAAGATATTTTCACCTTGTATGTATATGTGTATGTGTATGTATTTGAACCACGGAGCAAATACAAAGAGAAGACGGCCTAAGCATTGTGATTCTACCATGGTCACGACAGTGGGCGTGGCTTTTGTTAGTATACAAATAAGTAATAAAAATTGTTTACACCTGGTGCATCAAAATATACAAGGCATGATGAGGAAAAGAATTAGAAGTTGAATTGTTTTTAAATAGTAACAACATACATATCCTTTGTATTACTGTACATTGGCTAAAAGATTATAATTTCACTTTTAATTTCAGAAATCACCAGGTGGTCAGTTCCTTCAATAGAGAAAAAAGTTTACGTGGTGGCTCCTTAATACTAGCAGATAAATCATTATTATATAAAGAATGTAAGGATATAGTGAGCCTCTCTGTTGAGCGAACTGTAGAAATGGCTTGTGTCGAGCTCGAGCACCTCATTGTTGTAAGTGTTTACAGACCCCCATGTGCTACTTATGACTATTTTGAAAGGATTGTGGAAGAAGTTTTGTTCAAACTTAGTAAACAGCACAAGTCTGTTGTAATATGTGGAGACTTTAACAACAATCTCCTTGAAACTTCTTCCATTAGTATTAAGTTTAGCTCATTGTTTAAATCGTATCTTGTAAATTTATTCTTAGAACCAACACGTATTGCTGGGCCTAGTGCGACCTGTTTAGATAATATTTTTACAGATGTTAAGCCCTTGCATAAATCAATTATTCAAAATTTAAGTTCAGATCACTGTGGATAGTTGGTATCATTGCCTTACATACACAAGAAACAGAAAAATAAGAAAGTTGTGTTTGTTCCAATAAATGAACATCGCTTGGAGAGGTTTAGACGTAATATAATAAAAATACTTCAATCACTTTCATTTAAAAACAGTGCTAATTATTTGTATGGTACGTTATTTAAAATTATAACTTGTGAATTTAGTAGGATATTTACTTCTAAAACTTTCTCTTTTAACAGTCGCAAATCATTTAATGAATGGGTGACAGTAGGAATTTATAAGAGTAGGCGAAGGTTATACGAGCTTTATGATGAAATATCATATAATAGTAGTGTTATATTTAGAGATTATGTAAAAACATATTCTAAAATATTTAAAAAAGTGTGCTCCACTGCTAAGGCTTTACATTTAAGTAACAAAATTAAAACTGCATCTAACAAAATTAAAATGACCTGGAGAATAATAAACAGTGAAACGGGCAAGGTCAAACCGCGCAACTCGGATTTTCAATTGAATATTAACAATAATTTAACCCGATCTGATCAAGAAGTTGCTATGGCTTTTGAGAAACATTTTACTGGTGTTCCTTTTTTGACAACTAAATCATTAAATTCTCCTACTGTCGCTGAATCATTGCTCAAACAAAATGTAAAGGCTTGTTCAAATACTTTTAAATTCCATAGAGTACTGCCAAAAGATATCGTTAAATATTTTAAAACTATTGACGTTAAGAAAACGGCAGATTTATGGGGGATTTCCGTTAAAGTTATTTTATCTATAATAGATATAATAGCACCTTATCTAGCCACTATATTTAATACAGGCGTCGAATCTGGTGTTTCCTGATTTAATGAAACATAGTAAAGTCATACCTTTATATTTAAATCTGGTAGTACATTAGACCCCGCCAATTTTAGACCAATTTCTGTACTACCAACATTTAGTAAAATTTTTGAAAAAATAATTTTAGATCAGATGTTAAGTTTCTTTAATATTAATAAATTGCTACATAGAAATCAATTCGGTTTTACAAAGGGTCGCTCGACAACTGACGCTGGAGTTGAGTTTATTAAACATATTTTTTGTGCATGGGAGAATTCAGAGGATGCTTTGGGTATATTTTGTGACCTTTCCAAGGCCTTCGACTGCGTTCACCATGAGACATTAATCAGGAAGCTACAGTTCTATGGTGTCAAGAACAGCGCTTAAACTTATTATTTCATATTTAAGTAATAGAATGCAGAAAGTTGTTATCAATGGTAAAAGTTCTTCCGGCTCACCTGTACTAATGGGTGTCCCTCAGGGCTCGATTCTCGGCCCATTCCTATTTCTAGTGTATAATAATGACTTACCTTCTCTTGTAGAGGATAATCATGATAAAGTATTATTTGCTGATGATACTTCCTTGATTTTTAAACTTAAACGTCAATCATTTAAATGTGACGAAGTGAATAATGCTATATCAAAATTAGTGCATTGGTTTAACGTTAATAATCTACATTTAAACGGAAATAAAACTAAATGTATTAAATTTACAACAACGAATGTTAAAAATCTGAGTACCAATGTGTTTTAAATGGAGAAGAACTGAGCCCTGTTGAATCCACTGATTTTCTTGGCATCACTCTCGACGCAAAGCTTCAGTGGGGTCCCCATATATCCAAACTAGCAAGCAGACTAAGTTCTGCAGCCTATGCTGTAAAAAAGATTAGAGGTCTCACTAGTGTCGAGACAGCTAGATTAGTTTATTTCAGTTATTTCCATAGCATAATGTCTTATGGGATTTTGCTATGGGGAAATGCGGCTGATTCAGAAACTATTTTTGTTTTACAGAAGAGGGCCATTAGAGCTATTTACAACCTGAAACCGAGAGAGTCTCTTAGAGATAAATTTAAAGAAATAAATATATTAACTTTGGCCTAAAAATTTAATGTATGTTCACAAAAACAAAGGTAGTTTTAGTAAAAAAAGTGATGTGCATTCTGTAAACACTAGGAACAAACACAAGCTAGTGATACCAGTTTTTCGACTCCACAGAGTCAGTAATTCATTCTTGGGGCAATGTATACGCTATTACAACAAGGTACCGGAAAGTGTACAGGCTCTCTCTATTAGCAAGTTTAAATGTTTTGTTAAGTTGAAACTGTATAAAAAGAGTTATTATAGTATAAATGAATACATGGTTGATAATAACCCCTGGGAATGAGGTGATCGCTTCCAAGCTGTTTCTAAAATAAATTTAATACTTATATAGTTTGTACAACCATTATTGTAAAATTTGCTTTAAAAAAAAAGTTCCGCTGGGTTTGTTGCTGATTCTTCCCAGGACAGAGGTTTTTTTTGTCGAACCAGTGGTAAAGTAAAAAAATGACTTTCAATAAGAATTACACATGTGATCTATATTGAATAAAAAATTATTCTATTCTATTCTATTCTATTCTATACTATCAGCGTTCGTCCTGTGCGCTTGTGTCGAAATACGCAAGTCGGTGTATTTTCGTAGTATTAAGAAAAAAGGATGAAGTGTTGCGTTTTATCGAGTAAAAACTACTCAGATAGACGCCCTGATGCTATGATGGCATCACATTTCATTTGTAAGTAATTTATACCTAATTTATTAAAATAGTTCTA